GGCAGGACAGATCCAGCCCCAGCAAGGATAGGGGACTGCATGGAGGGGCCAAGCCCAGCCCCTTCCCTGAGTCTGCTGCACCCATGGGTGATGAGGAGGGGAGCGATGGTCCTCGTGGGTGCTGGCTCTGAATCATTTATCAATCTTCATAAATATGCAGATGAGCAGCGGGGCTGGGAGCCCTCTGCCTGACGGCGTTAATTATTTAACGCGGAGGAGATGCTGGTGGTGCGCATTGCCCGCTGCCTGCACGGCACGTGGCTCAGCCCCGGCCCCAGCGCCCGCCAGCCTGGGCTGGGTGCTGCCTCCTGCCTTCCCCCCTCCAGCCCTAGAGACCCCCGAACCCCTGGGACCCCCTCACCTCTGGAACCCCACAAACCCTCACAAACCAGGTCGTTCGATCCCTTTCTCCACCACCCCTTGAAAACAAATGGGCCGAGCTCGGCGCTCGCTGCCATAAAGCCACGCTGCGCTAATGCGCTTTCATTAAGTGGGAGCGATCTAATGATAATAAAATGGCACATTTAACATTAAAACATTTAACTTGACTCCTAAGCGAGTGTGTCTCTCTGCGCTGTTCCAGCTCCATCTTCATGAGGCTGACAAAGCTCCTTAATTTGTTTCTGGGGAGCGGATGCTCGGCAGAGACAGCTTGGCACCACGCGGCACCGGATATGGGGTACCATGACACTAGGATATGGGGCTGCAGGGGTGCTGGGATGTGGGGATACTGGCTGGCAGGATGCAGGGGTGCAGGGATGCAGGGTGCTGGGATGCAGGTAGCAGAGGTGCAGGCATATGGGGATGCTGGAACGCTGGGATGTGAGGGTGCTGGGGTGCCAGGATACTGGCTGCAGGATCCTGACACCCGGATGCAGGGAGATGGATATCCATGGGGATGCAGGGATGCTGGCACACTGGGGTGTAAGGACACTCCAGTGCGATGCTGTGTGGGCACGGCTGGGGCCCTGCACCTACAGTGCAGCCCGGAGCACGCCGGGGAAGCGGGTGATGGCGAAGGGGGCTGTGCTGTGGGATGGCTCCTCGCCCAGGCTCAGCTCACACAGCAGCTTCCCCACCACCGGTGCCAGCTTGAAGCCGTGGCCTGAGGGAAGGAGAGGGGGATGTGGAGGGCACAGCCACCCCCACAGCCCCAGCTAGCTCTGGGGTGCCAAGGCGGGGCCGAGTGTCTTTGCCTACCTGAGAAGCCAGCCCCGATGATGATGTTTCTGAACTTGGGGTGCTGGTCCAGGATGAAGTCTTCATCTGGAGTGTTCTGGGGGAGCCGTGGGGTGAGGGGTCCAGGGTCTTCTCTTGGACCCAAGGTTGGGGGAGGAGGGCATGGCAAGGCCCACCTTAGGGTGAGTGAGAGGTTAGTACCCCAGACACCTGGGTCTCACTTCTGGTGGGGGTCTCACCGTGTAGAGGCAGGGGTCCCCCCACGCCGGGAGGGGGCCCCGCGCCG